TCATCAGTAAATGGAAAAGTTGAAAATTTACATAGTTATGTATATGTAACTCCAAAGCCCCTTTCTTCCATGCTGCCTTCTGGAAGTGGGCATAGGCAGGGAATAAGAGTTACAGTTTTTGATGTAGAATAAGAGACAGGTGTGCTCTTTTTTTTGCATCCAGTGAGCCAGCCACAGAAAGAAACCAGTGTTATTTGGGGTAAGAGAAATGAGTATCTGGTGGTACCAGTGGCCCTCCCTTAACTTTAGCCTCTTTCAGGCTGTTCTTTCAGGTAGTTTACATGGGGTATAAATGCATTCTGCTAAGGATCTTCACCCTAACAGTCGTGACTATATGAGAGTTTATGTAAACATTCACCTGACACATTTGTCTTCTTTGAAAGTTGTTACTACTTATAAAGCAATAAATTCTTAAAAACCATCATGAGCCTGCCATTTTTTTCCCCACAGAATTTAGAGGTTCGCATCAGTTCTCAAGATTGTTTGGAATGCTAGAATAGTCTGTGGTCTTCACGTTTCTTCCAGCCTTCATCTGTGGCACTTTTTACCTTCATTGCTTTTGTTACTAGATTCTGTGAGCAGAGCTTGAAGTTGAGGGATGCTGTTTCTTTCCTTGCAGTCAATGTTAATAAATATGTATTATGTGTCCACTGTGCACTAAGTTGTGCCAAGCACTGAGGGTTTAAGTATAAATACAGCTTGATCCCTGCCCACGGAAAGTTTCTGGTCTAACAGAGAAGTCTGAAGATCATTGCAATTTAGAGCGATATGCACAGCACTGTCAGTTACAATCACCTCTTTACCTCTCCAGCCTTATCTCTTGATGCCTGTACCTTTTTCCCACCTCTGTCATCTGTTCTAGGACTATTGACTCTTTCAGGTTTTAGATGTCACTTAATTCAAGATCTTTTCTTTGATCTCTCAGGATAGAGCTAGATAACCCCCATGCCCACAAGTATGAGTTTGCTTAGCACCTAAGTACTCATCATGCTCTATTGTAGATGCTGTTTACTTGAACTGTAAGCACCTTATGGGCAAAAATTGTTGGTTTTAGTTCCAGCACATCGCTAGGCATGTAATCAATGATCAGGAAATCTTCACTTGAATTCTGCTTGAGTGACTGAGGAAAGGCTTATAATAGTGGAAGCAACATTGGAACCAATTCTTAAAGGATGGATAGGGGTTCCCTAGATGAATCTGGGAGAAAAATTCCAAGCCAAGGGAGCAGTTTGTACAAATAGATGAGACAGTGAAGAGTTTACAAATGACTGGCAAGGCTTTCTCATATCCACATGGAGTTTGAGACATCAGTTATTAACTGTAGGATATTGTCTCTTATGCAGAGTCAGCCAGACTAGATTAGAGTTAGATCATGGGGTAAAGAATAGAAAGATGCTCCCTCCCTCAATTATATATCCAGAAGTTGAAAGTCAGTCTTTTACTTGAATATGTATCTATATGACCTGTTAATAATTTCCGTTAGTCCACCTTTCTTAGAGGAAAATGACTTTCTCCCCAACCTCCTACTAGAGCTCACCTTCTTGAGACATCTCAAATTTAAGAAAGCAATATGCTGAATTAAGCTGAGGGAGATATAATTGAAATAGCTAAGAGCTTACTCTCTCCTAGGTAATCTGATTTATTTTGGTACTTTAGCAAAAAAGTATATTTAAGTGGAAGCATTATACTTCTGTGATTGATCTTATAAACTGTTTATTGAAAATACAATGCATGTTCTCATGGTAGTGTGTGATATGAACACTTGCCAATAAAAAGCTTTGAAATTGTAAATGTCACTAAAGGTTTTGAATGCTCAGCAGTTTTTATAAGAAACAGGTTTTTTTTTGAGGGGGATGGGTAACTCAAGTGGTAGAGCATGTGCTTAGCATGCCCAAGATCCTGGGTTCAATCCCCAGTACCTTCTCTATAAATAGATAGATAGGTACTTAGATTCATAGATACATAAATAAATAAATCCCTCCATGCATCCCCCTGCCAAAAAAACAAAACAAAGGCTCTGGTTAGAGGACTTCAATTACTGTCTAAATCTAAGCTGTAGCTTAGATTCCTTTGCCTGTTAAACTCTATAAGGCCTTTTGTGCTCTTTCCGTAAGATAGGAAGAGATTCACAAATTTTGGGGGTGGTGGGGAAAGGTAATGAGGCTTTTTTTTGAATGGAGGTACTGGGGATCGAACCCAGGACCTCATGCATGCTAAGCACGCACTCTACCACTGAGTTATACCCTCCCACAAGATTCTCAAATTTTATCTCTTACTTCCTCCATTCCTTGAGACAGTAAACTGTGGAGGAAAAGTACTCTAAAAAGAGAATATCTTAATTAGGTGATAAGAGGAGAGGGTTGTCTACTTATAAAGTTAGGGAGTTACCTTTGCATTTCTAAAATACAATGCATGGAAAATTAGAATGAATTCAAGTGTTTGTTAAATTTTAAAACCATCAAAAGGCCAATATCTTTCCCTCTTGTCTGTGTGCTTTTGTTGACACAAAGTAAATATTATTAGAATGAAACTGAAACATGCTGGTTAGGGAACATATATTGGCTTGGTACATAGGCAACAGAATTAGAATTTCTGAGAGCTTTGTCATTGTTGTAAAGTATGGACTTCCTTGGGAAATGAATGTATCTTTAGGAAATAAATATTACCTTAGCCATTTATATGAGAGCCAAAGTGAGTCCCGGAGTTAGAGTCTGGAGACTTGCGTTTTAATTTTGTCTCTGAGCAAAGCATTTAACCTCTTTGATCCTCAGTTTCCTTCTTCTGTAAGGAGTAGGAGATTGAGCCAGATGATCAGTACAAATCCTTTTTTTTTTAATCTTTGAGTTTATTGCTACTTTTAAATACCCTAGGTTTAACAGTGAGCCAAGTTAAGATGGGCATTTAAATTTGGCAGGTGGTAAACAGCAGCCATCCAAGGATCCTTAAATCTGTCTCTTCTACTCTTACATAGTTCTGTCAGCATAACCTAGATTCTGCAGTACTGTTTCTGGGCTGTGTGTGTGTATTTAATGTGCCTGGTTTGAACTAATCCACAATAATGCACATGTCTGGGCTGTTCCACCTGCTTAATGATTCTGTACACCAACCCTGATTGTGTTCAAACTTCCTCCTTGGCCTGCTTCTTCCTGATTTGCTCTCTGGATTCATGCTACAGAATGTCATTCTCTTCCGTTTCTGACTAACCTCTTTGTAATGACCAGGGTTTTTTTGACATGTACCATTGTCTGGCTGCTCCTGATCTGGCCTCTCCTTCTTCGACTTTTTTTTTTTTTTTTTAATCTTGACAACTGTGATAAGTACTGCTTGCATTTATTGAGAGCTTTTCATGTGCCAGGTACATTACAAAGTGCTTTATTTATGCTCGTGTCATTTAATCCTTACAACTGCCCTGTAATGATAAGTGATATTGTGCCCATTTTATAAATTAGAACACTGAAACTCAGAGAATTGAAGTAACATGCCTAGTGTTAGCATGTAGTGATAGATCTAGAATTAAAATGTTAGTCTGCCTCCAAAGCTCATCTTCTTAACCAGTCTGCTGTATTGTCTCCTTGATGATCATAACTGCAATATGTTGAGCACATACTAGATGCTAAGCAATGCATTTGCCACCTTTCACCTCTCGTTTTACAGTAGTGGAAGGGCTATATTGCACATGATCTACTTTTAGGCTAATAAATATAGGGGCCAGCTTAGAAGGTATTTGATGTTCTTAGATTGGAGCATTCTTTCAATGTAAAATTTCAATGTATTTTTCCTTTTACTCTTTCCTATCTTAATGGTGAGTATCATAGTGAGTTTTTCTTTTTCTTGACTACTGCCAGTATTAACAGTTGAATGTTGCCCAAGTGTACACTATTTTTTCTTACTGATGCCTTAGTGTTGTCATTTTTTTTAGTTGTTACCTTTGCTGTTTTTTTTAAATCAGAAACGGATAATGGAGAATGAGGAACAGGTCCTAAGGAAAGGGGAAAATCCAAATACTAGAAATCTTTCTGGAAGCTCAATTTGAAGAACGAAAATTTAAACTAAAACCTAGTTTTTTTGGGTAGCTGTCATTTGTTAAAGGAATATCAGGGCTTTGACCAACAGAGGATTTAACCTCACTAGCCTTAGTTTTCTTATCTGATAATGTTGTAAATAATATATTCTTCACAATGCCTAGTTAGTTGTGGTGATAATTAAAGGAAATAAACTGTGTAAAATTCCTTAATATAGTGCTCAAAATTTTTAATTCCCCCTTTATGTTCAGATGTTAATTCATCAAGCTGTATCCTTAAGATTTATGTATTTGGCTGTATGTAAGTTAGTTATAGCTCAGTAAAAAAGAAGAATCAGTGTGCAGGCTGGCCCCTTCATTGCTACATGTGGTTAGCTGATACCGCTCATGTATCATATACAGCATGTAGGGCTACTCCTTTTAATTTTGTTTTCTTCAAGATCATTACTGAACTTTAGCAGAAAGAGAAATATTGCATAATACCTTACAAATATTCACTCCAAGTTTACTATTTTAGTAAGCAAGCTTTTCAGAAACATTTCTTTTTATTTTTAGAAAAGGTATATTTAATCCCCAGATCTTGTTCCTAATGTTAATTCCCAATACATAGATCTCATCTGGCTCTGAGTATGCCACTCATAGGTAGGAAATACAATTTTAGAGCAAGCAGTGAAATGTCCGAACAGTCGGATTTGGAGGCAAACCTGTGTCTAAAAAATATCTTTGAATGGGCTTCTGTTCCCATTAGCCTGCTACGTGTAACCCTAATGTTTTCTGTGTGATTAAATTTACAAATTCTTTGCTAAACTCTTAAGCAGCCTCCCTTTCTTCGTGGCTGTGAGTCTGGAGAGTTGTAACCAAGCTCAGTGTCAGGAAAAGTAGGTGTGGACTTTCAGGGCTGTGGCGCCCAGCAGCGTGAATGTGGTCCGCAGTCTCCTCCCCTTCCTGCACTTCAGCTCTTCACTGCGAACTCTGGAATGACAGGCATTCCTGCGTGAAGAGAGCTGGCGTGAAGACATATTTGTAAGAACCACGAGTGCCTAGTCCGGGATACAGGGCAACAGAAGCTCCAGCAGATTAACTGACCTCGTGCCATTTCCCGATGCTTGGCAGTGACATTGAGAGAGGAGTACATGTCCCCTCCTTATATGGATTTATCGTTTAAAAAAGTTTGCTTTGGTCCGGCACGGTTTGTTGTGAGACACATCAGACAACATAATCATGGGGCAAGCTGACATCTCCAGACCGGTAAATCCAGATGGAGTTGGTGAGTAATAGAAGTCAAAGGAACAAAATCTTGATGGAGGCAAGGCAAATCTAGGGCTGAAGCTGAATATTTTATAGGGATTTGGATGTGATGATTTTGATGCTTTTAACTTTGGGACATTGATAATTTTGTGAAGAATAGATGAAAAATATAAGTTAATTTTTCATTCAGTTATATTAATTTCACTCATCATTTTGTTTTACTTGGTCCCTTTAGACTTTTTAAAGATAATATTGCTAGGAAACCATCTGTTAATATCTTGCCCTTGGAGAAAGTAAGTGCTACAGGAACTTGTGTTTAGAAATCAGTAGTGTTTTACTGCTATTTTGCAGGGCTCTAGCAATTGGTTTCTATATGTGGTGTAGAACTAGAACTGTTGACTTCTATAAATAGGACCGTTTTTAAGATTTGACTTAATTTTTTAGACTCAGTTATGCATTTTCCAAATAAGGCTTTTTCCATTGTGCCGGTGTTTCCGTTTCTCATAAGCAACACTTGGTATAAACATTTCTGAAGTCAGTTCTTTATATTTTAGTGTTATTGTCTCAGAAATAGCTAGAGACTAGGCTGAGAATTGTAAGTGTAGCCAGAGCTTCAAAGCATATAAGTGAAGATTCATTTTCCCAACATTTGGGGTTTTTTATAGGATGAAGATGGAGAGGTAGGAAAGATAGATTTAAGTGGATGTTCATTAAAAGTTTGCTAAATATAAGCAAAGTAGGGGAAAGCCTATGAATCATCCCTTGACATTATACTATATTTTTAAAAAAAGGTTTATACCTTCTCTTTGATTTATGAAGCAGCATAAAGCATGTTCAGTCTCAGGCTGCTTTTTTTCCACAAATGAATAGTGTTGGCAATCTTAAAGAAAAGCATAAAGTGTGGGAACACAAGTAACACCCCCAAATGTGTCTCGTGATTTAATGTGATTTAGTTTCAAAGGTATGTTTTCCCTGAGAACTTGTCAGATGAAATTCCTACCAAGTATTATTTTTCATATTTTACTGAAACTAGGCACATGGATCACAAAGTGAGTCATTCAGCCACAGATTTTTAGGACTGACGTTAGGACTAGACTTACTTTACCTGATCACCAGGGCTGAGTCCATATCAATTCACTTGCTCACTTTTTGTTTTTCTAAATGAAATATTTTATAAATAGAAAAAGGTATCGAGAAAAATATAAAGGACCCTCTGGGGCCACTACCCAGCTTAAGAGATGAAATTAAAAACAGATATATCCCTCCCCACCCCTCTTCCTGTGCCCACATTCCCTTGTATAATTCATAGATGACTATAAGCTATTTTAATGGACAGACTCCACTCTATCATTTATAATTCAGGATGTATTCTGTTTGAGCAAATCAAGGCCAGTTCATGAAGGTGTAACGTTGATATGTAAGATGAATATCATTACTGTAAAGTCTTTTACCAAACAACAGTTTCTTAATGAAATGAAATTTTAAAACTATTTCAAATGGAAAAAAATCTGAAAAAATATATTTGTTAAAGAAATAAAATTGTAACACTGTACCCTAATGATACGAAGATACAGTAAGCTAAGAAACTTTGAGTCTGGGCTACTTGTGAAATCCTGCACTATTCATGAAAATTTTTTTTATAGATCTGTAAGTGTTATAAAGTGAAAATGCATTAAACAAAATTTTTATTTTTTAACACATAATTTTTAAATTGTCCTACTAGTAATTGCTATTAATTTCCCCTGCCACCTATTCCTATTGTTTCTTTTTTTTAAAATTAGATTTATGACAGAGACAAGTAAATAAGCCAGAGTAATACATAATGTCGAATAGCATCAGTTTTACATATTTTATGTTAAATTATTAATGCACGTGTATAATAATTTATTAAAATTGTTATTTGGGTGCACTTTTTTTTATTGTTATACTTTACTGGTATGGCTCTGTCCTGGGTTACTCTAAAAAACCTTTCATCAGAGATGTCAGTCACGACTCAGACTTTAGTGAGCCTGTTTCACTTCATGGCTGAACATATTCAAAAGGCTTGTTTATGAAATAAAACAACTAATAAAAAAATAAAAAGCATTTCAATGGATAGGTGTCTGAAATATCTTACTAGATTTTTTGGAAGGATAAATGTAGAAAGTAAGACTTAGATCATTTCTTTAGTTCTAGGCCTGTAATAGAGTAGTTAGTTTTGAGCTTTAAAATTGATGGCACTGGGTTTGGCAAGCCAAGTCATACAAAAATAAAAGAATGAATGAATGTATTGAAATGATTTCTTACTATTTTCAAGCCACTGTGAATGTGGCAGACTCTGAATAGGTATGATTCCTGTCTGTGCCCTTAAAAAGTTTACTTTCTAGTTAAGAATTTAAAATATTAAAAGTAAAAATCCAAAATACTTAAAATTTATTTAAGATAAGACATATTCCTTTTTTTAACGTTATTAGACTCCCATGGCTTATGATGGAAGTGTAGAGCTGTTAACCAAGAAGAGTCTACTTTTAAATAAATAACCTTTACATGAGGACTCATGCAAATTTATGAGATGTTATGTCAGTATCCAGCTATTGTTTTTACCATACGATCTTTCTAACAACAAGTGAGCTAATGGAGTATTTGAATGCAAAGTAGAAATTTATGCTATGGTGTCCATTCAAGGAGATAAGCAGTTATCGTCAGCATTTCATATAAAAAAATTATCCTGAAGTTAAATGTGTCCACAGGAGAAGCCTATAGATTTACTGAGATGAAACGTTCAAATAATACTTTGTAGTTCTTGATCAACATAAAAGCTGTTTCTGTATTCACTTTAATCCTCCACTATTTATCATATTAAAATGAAGAGCTAATTAGCACATGTCCTTAAATTAGGCACAAGACCAAAGAATTTTAATAAGCTCTACCCAACCATTTAGTCTGGAAATTTTCTTCTCTCTGCCTTTCTGTTCCCACTCTAGCTTTTTTTTTTTTCTTTTTTTGAGCCCCAACATATACCTTCTACTCACTAATTAGCCTCCCCCCAACTTTTCCTTTGTATGAGAATATATTACTTTAAAAGATACTATGTTGTAATATTTCTTATTTTCTGTATTCCTTTTCCACACCATTTGATTCATTTTGCTCTGAAATTTGTTGTTATGGGTTCTCATTCATGAGAATGGGAGTAGTTATGGGAAAGGTGGTTTAGAAATATATTGTTATTTGGAGGCAAAATCAGTAGGGAAATTGCTGGATGAGTAAAATTTAATGTAGCTTTATAACTATTAACATAGGAATAAATAATACATGGATTAATTAAAAGTAAACTACTTCATGAGACTTGGAAGAAAAATTCTTGGTATTGTTTGGTCATCAGAATTATGAGAGACATTTCTCAAACCTATTTTGGTCTAAAAATAAATACTTTCTTCCGAGAAAGAAGGAACAGGCATACTTTCCTCATGTAATCCAGGAATCAGGAGAAAGTGACAGTATAGGGATCTGTCATGGACTCTTTACAGGATTTTCTGTTGTTATTGAATGTAGAATACCAATCAAAAGTTATTATTCCCTCTCTCTGCTTCAGTAGGTTTTCTGAATAGCCTATTGTCACAACAATGTATTCCTTCTTTCTACTTGCAAGTTAACTTTGGTAAATATAAGGGTTTTTTCCATGAGAGAATATACTTCTTGGCACCTCACTATAAAAACTTTCTCTCAACTTGGAATTTTTGTCAAAAAAGTATACATACCAAATTGCCAGAGTAAAGCAGCATCACTTCTTGATGCAGTCATGATCGGAGAACTGTTTCCCAGAGTTAGAATCTCAAACCTAACTGTACCTGCAAGTACAGAAAGAGACCTTTTCCCTGACTATCTTCTTGAGTGTTTTACCCAATTCTTTCTACTTCCCTGAGGTCAGAACTATGCAGTATTTCCAAGGGAAGTTATTGGGCCTGCTCTGGACAAAGCTTGCTTTGTTCATTAGTGGCAGGTTTTGCTTTCTGTAACTTTGTTGCCGTTTTCTAAAACAGTTCTTTAAATCCAATAATAATCTTCTTTTAGAAGGAAAAAAGAGTATAAATACAATAGAGTAAGTACCGTAAATTACTGTTCTCCATTGACAAAGTTCTAATGCTGTTAAAATGCTTGTGTAAAAGCAAGATCTGTTTCAAGCTAGATGAGCATAAAAGATAATTAGACAGAGCCATTAGATTATAGAAGTAACTAGTCACAGTATATGTTAGGTCAAGCCATTATGCTGTATACCTTAAACCCAAAAAAAAAAAAAGATAATTGATACCTCTTCATAATGGAGTATGTATCTTGTTGCACAAAACTATGTATTTTTAAGTTTTGGACAAATAGCTGATTATTAAAAATTTTGTGGGTAAAATCGAAGAACTTTAAACATCTTAAATCTACACATTCTTTAAAACCCGGTAAAGTATAAGAAGTAGGGATAGAACCAAGACAGTCCCAGTAATTTTGTTGGTTATTACTAAGCCTAGTGAAGGGGAGAGGATAGTGAAGGCTATCTTGAAAACTAAGTTCTCTATCAATTCCAAATGTCTGTGCCTTACCTTTGCTTCCAACGTAGATGATTAAGAATTGATTGTAAATCAGATTCTAAAATGAACACTTGTGGGGAGAATATAGCTCAAGTGCTAGAGCACATACCTAGCATGCACAAGGTCCGGGGCTCATTCCCCAGTACCTACTCTAAAAATAAACACATAAATAAACGTAATTACCTCCCACCTAAAAAAAAATAAATAAGTAAATAAATAGAATAAACACTATCTTTGACCTAGTACTTAACTGTTTAACCTTGTTTTATCCTTTATTTTTAGCAAGTAATGTAGGTATAATATGTATCTGCAGCAAATAGGTAATGAATATTTTAACTGAAGATGTAAAATGCTAAGTAATTTTTTAATAATGCTATATATTTATTTAAAAATCACTCCAGAAATGCATCTGGAGCAACTGAACTTGAAGTAAAAAACTTAAATTAAATGTTGACAAGGAAAA